CTCTACACCAAACTCGTGACCAAGTAAGAAGGGACAAGTTGATGGAATGCTTTTTTTTTAATCCAATTGTTGCGGGAAGGTTGTATCATAATGGAAAGGGTGGTAGTTAGTTAAACTCAGTATTATTTTGTGCATTATTTCACAATAATGAAAGGTAGTTTTCAATGATGGTTAAAAATTGAATTCTGGACTATTTTCGTTGTTTCACTCTCCATACAAACAAGGGAGTTTAAATCTACTACTGTTAATATGTTGCAATTTTAATTTCTCTTTCTGGTTTACCATTCGAAGGCTGTTCTTTCAGAGAGCACTTGAAAAAAGAAGGAATCGATAACAGAGGTATTTTTAAAACTTTTTAGGTTTTTAATCCACCTACAGCTTGTTCCAAAGAGCTTTGCCTGACTTGGCGGTTGTGGTTTCAATGAACTTCTTTGAGGGGAATTGCCGTGAATCTTAGAGTCTGTTTTGACTCCTGAGTCCCCTAACTATGCATTTCCAATTCTCTCTCATCTCATTCTTTCTTCTTACCTTACCTAGACTATAAACCCTGCCAATACACAGATTGCTTTCCCATGTCTCTCTTACAACTAATTGTTGCCTAGAGAGGTTTTAGCTTATGAGCTTTAAGATTATGTTGAGGTCGACCCTTATCAGTGTCTTTGATGAGTCTTGTGGTCCAGAGCTCTTCCAAAACTTTCCTCAATTCCACCAGAATGCTACTTGAGTACTACTTATACTTTCCTCATCTATTTCTCACACTCATCTTTTTGATTGTTTTTTTTCCCCCATATGAATTCAGTCAGATCACACATTGTTCGACTTTCAAGATGCAATTCAAAATTTACTCTTTAAAAGCAGGAGAGTTTTTCTTAGTTTACAATTTCATCATTCACTAAATTATCACTAAAAGCACATTTTTGCGGGTTTAAAAATTCAAATATCTGCGTTGTGGATTTGGGAAAAACTATGGCAGAAAAAAATATTTTTCTGCTTATTTTCTCTTAAAAAAACTTTCTGTGAGTGTAAGTGTTAATCATCTTAAATTTAATAATTGTGAATATCTGAAGATTGTTCTCTTTATGTTTGAATTGTAATGTGAGTAGGAAATTCATTGGAATGGTGGCCTTTCTGATCTAAGAAAAAAGGGTTATCAAGATACTTTCACGATACGTCAATGGGAATCATAAAAACCATCCAGGTTGGTTCATGAATTCCTCAATTTTTAGAATTAATGCTACTTGATTGAATATATCTACTGTGGAAAACTAGAAAGTTTTGGTCTCCAAAGAAATATTAATCAAATGCCTTCATTTTATTTTTTTTTTGTCTTTGTGATTTTAAGAAATGAATTTACATATAAAGTTCAAAACACCTAGTTTTCATTTTGTGATAAAACAGAAAGTGTTTTTTGAATTGAACAATTTTTCTAGGAAAGGGGTTTGTTTCTAAAAAAAATTTCTGAAAAGATTTTGAAACATGGGAGAGAATGATTGCCTATCCAACCTCTTCTTTCCTAATGGGCACAAAAAGCTTTTCTTCCATATATAAGATGGGGTAGTGTATGTCCAGCTGTGCTATGGCGGCGAGCGAAGCGGGCCCAATAATGGTTGTAAGGTCTTACGAGACCCCCATTCTGCTTTTCTTACCTAGTTAATTTATTCAAGTTCATATTTAGTGCCATAAAATTTGGGGGTAAAAGTCACTCAAAACTAAATGGGATAGAAACACATTTGATTTGTGAAAGAAAAATTAGAAACGATCTCCAAACAGCATCCGCAAGACTTCAGCGCATCTACCGCTAATCTCACACTTCCTCGACTCCTATCTACACACGGCAGTAACGCTCCGTACCTCGTCTGAAGCGTCTCTATTAACCGATAGTAGGTCAAGGATCCTTGAGAACACGACGAACAACAATAATCCGAGTGAGTTCCCAAGCTTCAAAACCTCTGGAACAAAATTTCAATATCAGGAATCTCATATCAAAATTTCAATATCAGAACTCTAGAATTTACCTCATCCTCCCATTTGCCCATTCCCGTACATCCGCAAACTCATTTAACAGCACCAAAAGCTACATAGGGAAACAAATAGAATTTAGTTTGTTGCGTAGTTAGAAAACAAAACTCTTAGGTATCTCTATGAAAAGTTCAGCGAATAAACTCATTTCTATCATTTAAGTAATGGAACTGTGAAGCTGAAGAATTCTAGATTTTCTCTTTCACAAATCAATGTGTTTTCTATCCCCATTAGTTTTGAGCTGACTTTTACCCCCAAATTTATGGCACTAAATATGAATTGATAAATTAACTGGTAAGAAAAGCAGAATGGGTCTCGAAGACTTACAACCATATTGCCTTCCTCGCCCATAGCAAACAAGCTGCAATACAAACTACCCATCTTATATCATGCGAGGAAAAGCTTGTGCCATTAGAAAGAGGTTTGATAGCAATCATTCTCTCCATGTTTCAAAATCTTTTCATAAATTTTTTTTAGAAACAACCCCCTTTCTAGAAAAATTTCAAAAACTGTTTTATCACAAAATGAAAACTAGGTGTTTTGAACTTTATATGGTATTCATTTCTAAAATCACAAAGAAAAAAAATAAAATGAAGGCATTTGGATTATATTTTTGGAGACCAAAACTTTCTAGTTTCCAGTAGATCAATCAATCAAGTAGCATTAATCTAAAATTGAGGAATTCATGAACCAACCTGGATGGTTTTATGATTCCATTGACATCGTGAAGTATCTTGATAACCCTTTTCTTAGATCAAGAAAGCCCAACCATTCCAATGATTCCCTACTCACATTACAATTCAACATAAAGAGAACAATCTTCAGATATCACATTATTAAATTTAAGATGATACACTACACTCACAGAAAGTTTTTTAAGAGAAAATAAGCAAATTTTCTGCATAGTTTTCAATCCACACAGCAGATATTTGAATTTTACATGTGCTTTTAGTGATAATTTCAGTGAAATTGTAAACTAAGAACAAAACTCTCTGCTTTAAGAGTAATTTGAATTGCATCTTGAAGTCGAACATAGTGTGAATCTGACTGAATTCATATGGGGGAAAAAAAAACAATCAAAAATGAGTGTGAGAAATAGATGAGGAAAGTAGTAGTACCTCAATAGCATTCATGGTGGAATTGAGGAAAGTTGGAAGAGCTCTGGACCCAAGATCATCAAAGACACTGATAGGTCGACCTCACATAATCTTAAAACTAAAGCTAAAACCCTCTCTAGCACCAATTAGTTTTAAGAGAGACATGGTGAAAGCAATCTGTGTATTGCAGGTTACAGTCTAGGTAAGGTAAAAGAAAGAATGTAAGAGAGAGATTGGAAATGCATGTTAGGACTAGGAGCCAAAACAGACCTCTAGATCACGACATTCCTCAAGAAGTCATCGAATCACGACATTCCTCAAGAAGTCATTGAACCACAACCAGGCAAAGCTCTTTTGAACAAGCTGTAGTGATTAAACTAAAAAGTTTAAACCTCTGTTATTCTTTCAAGTGCTCTGAAAGCTTCGAATGGTAAACCAGAAAGAGAAATTAATTGCACATATTAACAGTATTAGATAAACTACCTTGTTGTATGGAGAGTGAAACACAAAATAGTCAGAATCATCAATTGAAAACTACCTTTCATTATTGTGAAATAATGCACAAAATACTGAGTTTACTACCACCCTTTTCCATTTATGATACAACCTTCCCAACAATGATTAAAAGCATTCCATCAATTGTCTTCTTGTCACAGTTTGTGTAGACTTCAGAGAGTTTACCACGCATTAGCCACACGAATTGGGACAAGAACTCATTCATGGTTCCATCATCCTTTGATTCTTCTTCTTGGTCACTGATTGGGTGATTAGAATGGGTGTATCTGTTGAAGGATAATTGAATTGGGTTTGGGAAATTAGGGTTTTTGATGAGAGTAGAGTCATGATTGGTTTGTGAATGAGTGAAAGAAGAGATCGTAAGAGAGAGAGCTAGTTCTGGTTCATGCCACCGGAAAACGCCGTCGGAAATCGCGCCAGAAATCACCTCTCAAGTTTTGTCTCTCTGAAGAAGTGAACAGTGTTTGATAGAGCTTTTTGATGAAAGTTTGATCACAATTCTCATTAAAGAAAATATCTGAATTACAGAGTATATTTATACAAGAGCTATGTAACTGAAAAATATGTAACTGAAAGTCTAACTACTCCTAATGACTTCTAACTACTTTCCAGTGGTTACGGAAACAGTTGAGCATCCATTGAGAGTTGTGATTGCATCTGATGCTAATGCATGAGAAGATGGTGCTGATGCACTTGCACTAGTGGGTTCCTTATCCTTAACCTTATCCTTAACATATATATATATAATATTTGCTCACTTTCCTAAAAAAAATTAAAGAATGGGTACCGTTGCATTGTGATTTCAACTTACAACAAAAATGAGCTTAATTACGGAGTTATAGTATTATAATTTGAATTTTGTGTTGTAAATTATAAATACACTCGATGGAATTTACTTAAAATATAATTTCTTTATGTAATTTTAAAAATTACATTGCACCCTTTGAAAATTTTAATTTCATAACAAATGACCCTTTTATTGATAAATTGTTAAGTTAATTAATAATCTTTAATAATGTCATAAATTTATTTCAATTAATAATTCAGGTAATTTTATTATTATAGGAGAATAGTTGAGAATTTTATTTTTTCAATTAATTATATTAAATAAAAGAATTACGACAATGAGATATTTATAATTTTTCAAATTAGAGAGCAATTCATATTATTTTAAATAAATCTCAAGAAGTATATTTGTAATTTATGCTTAAAAATAAAGGGTAAACTACCAATAGGTCATAATAGTTGGACTTAATTTTCATCAAATTGTATTGAAAATAAGTTCTAGTAAAATCTTCGCTAAAAATAATTTTTTGTGATATTTTTTGCATATGTTGCTAAAAATTGACAATTAGTAACTTTTTTCACAATTTTTATAAATTGTTACTAAAACTTACAATTAGTGAAATTTTTCTGTGACGATTTTTTTTAACTATTATTGAAAGTTAAAAATTAATGGCATTTTTTTGTGACGATTTTTTTTAAATCGACCCTAAAACTTATATTTTGTGACAATTTTTAAATTATTGTTAAAAATTAATAATTAGTGACGCTTTTTAATAGTGTTTGATGAAAAACGTCATTAGTTATTATAGAAACTATTAAATAATAAGTCCAGCGATTAACACTTATAGGTCCCCATAAAGTTATTAGGGTTCGTTTAGGATGTGGGTTGACATTTTGCATATTTTAGCCTAGGCTAAAAAGTTTCGTTTGGGATGAACTTTTTGATTTTTTTAACTTTTGTGAGAGAAAAAATGAAATGATTATAGTTCGGATGTAACATTTTGTTTTATCAACTTTTTAGCTTATTTTATCATTTTGTGACTATTTTAACCCAAGATTAGAATGCCAAACGAAGGCTTATGCCTCGTTTGGAAATAGACTATTTTAGTAACTTTTTAGCTTTTTGACTAAAATATAAGATAAAAAAAAATTAGTATGTTTGGAATGGATTTTTAATTTTTTATAAAAAAATGTACAAAAAGTAGAGAGAAATGAAAATATTTAATTTTTTGATATAAATTATGAATTTTTTTTAATTTTTTTAATAATTTTTTAACTTTTAAGCTAAAATAAACACTCGTTAAACGAGCCTAAGTAGTCTTTAGAAATTATAAGGTTGATTTTGCAATTGAACAATTTTACCACCACGCTGAGACTCGCCCATAACAGGACAAAAATCAATCTAGAAGCAAGAGAAATTTCACTGGCGAAGAGAAAGTGAAAATAAAGTTACTCTGAAAATCCTTAAAATAAATGTATTACTTGAACTAGAAATCTTATTGACGCTGAAAAATTATCCCTTGACAATGCACTTGTGTAATGAAGATTGAATTAATCTAATGTGGAGTTTAAGTGTGGAATGAATTAGAATTAGGAATTGATATTTTTAAATAACATTCAAAATAAAAAAATTAAATTTGTAGTATTATTGATACTAACAAATTCTCCCATATAGGATTGATTTGAATCACATGAACTGATATAAGAAGTGTAACTCCATGGTTTAACAACGACAGAAAGAAAGAAAAACAAAGACATAAGCAATGCATTAAACAACAAACCACTGGGGATATCAAAAGATTACATATGGGTGATCTTGAGTATACAAGGCACCACGAGCTTTATTACTAAATAACTTATACGTCCGTATTTCGAGTCAAGTCATGATGATAGACCCAATCGAACAGGCAAGTTGGCAAGCGGTGGAGGTGGAGCGTTACAAATATATCAAAGCGGATGTCAGGGCATTATCGTTTCCTGATTTTTCCAAATTTGGATGACTTGAGCAAGTGACTTAGCAGATGATCCATGTTCACATGTGGTGGTGGCGGCCAACTCTTTCAGCTCCCTCGCCTTTTGTTGAAGTGGTTTCCCTCCTTCTCCTAAAATAAGATCCCTCACAAGTTTTGCGATTTCTTCACGACCAACAAGGCCATCTTCCTCGTTCTTCTTTGGTCTAAACGCGATTTTGAATTGTTTGGTTACCATTTCCGTATGCATTTCTTGCTCTCCAAAGAGTGGCCAAGCTATTATAGGAACTCCATTGACTAAGCTTTCTAGGATTGAGTTCCAACCACAGTGACCCAGGAATCCACCGGTCGAGCAATGATCTAGAGCTCTAAAAAGAGCTCTACTGAGCTAGCATGTCCCAAAAAAAAAAAAAAAAATTCAAGCTAAAACATCACACCAAATTGGACCCCACACACCTCCATGTCATTAGTTCATGTTTTAGAGCTCTTATCCTAGAGCTCGCAAGCATTTTTCATCGAGACATGACTCAAGATTTGGATTTGTGGGGCCCACGACCGAACCAATAGACCCAACCCCCCTCTTCTCGTCCTCTCCATGAACCCTTTTGGTAGGAAATCAAATGGGTTATCATCCTTGTTAATGCTTTGTGCATTGTAGTGAACACCACTTGCACCATCCTTAGCTAGGCTCCTAACAACCCAAATGAACCTCTGTTCACTCATCTCCAAACCCAAGGCTAGTTCAGTTAGCTGCTCCTGTGAAAGAGTCCCACTGCTCCCAAAGGACGCAAATAAGACCGAGCCACGTGGCTGCTCATCGAGCCACCATAAGCACTCCACATCATCATCATTTCCACTTGTCGGACGGGTTTGTAACACAGGTCCAATCGGGTAGACGGGCGTTTTTTACCCGACGCATCCTCCTCCTTGTCCACGAAAGCATTAAAAGCTCTAGGTTCCAACTCCAGGAAACTATTGACGATAATCCCATCAGCCAGATTGAACCTTTTGGTATGGTGAATGAACAATTTGTAAGTGTGAGTGTTTCTGTTCTGCATCACATTTACTGTGTGCCCCGAATCGGGAGGCAACCGGGTATTTTGATTGGGTCGGGTATGTCTTTATAGTCACTGTAACCTTGAGCTTGAGCTTCTTCATCTAACTTGGGCAAATGCAAAAGCAATGACAGTGACATTGCACATAAAGGCACGAAAATGTACCGTAGCAGATTGAATTCTCGAGCTACTTCAAATGAGTCGGTGCCAACAACATCGACTACCAGGGCGACGAGGCGAGTTGACTCAGTTAAGAGCTTGAGCGAGTCACAGAGAGCCGGGACAACACGAGTCATGGCGGTTGTGACAAAAAAAGAAGGATCAGCGTCGGAAGGAACGTCAGCCAGAGGGGGAGGAGGAGGGAGATAGAGGACTTAAATGGTTTTGGGCATGGAGGAATCGAGGAAAGATTTTTGGGATTTGATGGGAAACCCAAAGTTGGGGATGATAAAGGTGACTGAGAAGTTGTGGGTGAGGACGAGTCGCTTAGCGAACTCAGTGAGTGGGATGAGATGACCCATTGCTGGTGTGGGGAAAATGACTATGTGAGGCTTCTGCTGTTGTTGTTCGATAGTAGTTTCCATGATGAGAGAGAAGAGAGAGATGATAATAAGTCAGTTAAGCAAAGAATGGTGCCATTGCTTGCATCCATGAACATATCTATATAATAAGTCAAGAGTGTTTTTGAAAATGTCTTAAAATGTATGTGAGATACAATTTAATCCAATGGTTTAGATGATTCTTAAGCTTACATTGATGGTTCAGATTGGTTCAAATGAATGATGATTGATTCATTCACGCACGCACGTCTGACCCACGCACGTCTAAGCACATCCTCCCCACCTTCCCTCTCTCTATCTCTCTCTCTTTCACTCTCTGCTCTTCTTCGACAGAAGCAAAAAACCCCACCCTCTTCGCCACCGACGCTCCTCCTTCGTCACGCTCCTCTTCATCAACCGTTTGTTTTCAATTCTCTTCATCAACCCCCACCCTCTTCGCTACCGACGCTCCTCCTCCTCCTCCTCATTCGTCACGCTCCTCTTCATCGCAAGGTAAGATTCCCTTACAACCCAAAACGATTTCAGTATAGTTTTGTGGCTTTAATCATATATCCAGAAGAGTTGGGGCTTTGATCATATAACAGAGTACTCATTTTGATTTTGATTTTTGTTTTTCTAAACCTTAAATTGATTTGTTAATTAGGGATTTTTTAGGTATTTGGATTGCTCTAAATCAAGTT